CGGTGTATGACCACGTGTATCAAGGTAGGCATGATCTGGCTAGAAGCCACGAACTGATGAAAAGCTAGTCACTTGCGGCCAAAAGATATAACGGTAATCTGAACCGCCAAATCAACCGCTGCATTGTCTATTAGCTACCATCGCAAGAAGATCGTTCATGAAATTCTACGACTGTTTTTTACTCTGACATTGTGAATCACGGCCCGGAAATTGCAAGCGCGAAGTTTATCGTTTCGTTTCGTCTCGTTCGCGTTGTGAAACTTTGAAACGATTCTTGAAGCTTTCGTTAAATTGATTTTGTACATATTTCATTATTAGTCTTGTTATTTTTATTTCAATCTCGTTGTACATTGTATTTCTGTACTCGTAACTTTCTCCCGCGAGGAAATAATTCTATTCTATACATTCCTTTGAATATTCTCCCTGGAATTATTGTATGTTAGACGGCTGGTTTAAAAGGCTGGAATATTTAACACGAGAAGAATATAGTATGCAAATTTTTAAAAGCTCGAATTAAATTATTGATTTAATTCTTTCGAGTCAATTTTTTTTTTTAGTGTAATTATCGAAAGTAAGCAAGCATCCAGAGCTGTACTATTTCAATGGATTCTGAAAAGAACGAAATAAATGAAATAAATATATGAATAATAAATAAATGACTCAATGAATGACTCACTGAATGGCTCGCAAGTGAAAATAAATGAACGTACATGTCTAATGAACGTAATGACAAACTGGTAGCGTCGAATGCTTGATAAGCGTTAACCAGAAGGTTGAGTAACGCGGTCCTTAAACACTTTTCTCGGTTGTACGAGTGCGAAGGCCGGGCCGGCTCGGAAGTTTCAAGCGGAACGCAAACTTCGCCTCGAGAGCGGTTCTTGCTAGATTAATATCCCAGGCGGCAGTTTGAAGGTTTTCTAAGACGGGCGGGAGAGTTAAACGGGGTAGAATTCCTGAAAACTAGGCTGTGACAAGAGCTTAGGGGGGGGGGAATTACTTTTCGGCCGATTCTCTAAGGCTCGGAGAGACTGCGACGCAGTTAGGCGCACCTGCAAACGCTGGTAATTAACTACACGTCGGGTTCTTCTGCTCTGCCTCCCCATTCGTCGTTCCTCGCTGCATCCACACAGCGGGAAATTAAATGTCTCTCTCGGCGAAACGCGACGATGAATGCATTTATACGCGGGGATTAGAAAGAGGACATCGAGAAAATCGTATGTCGCGTTCAAATGACAATTAAAAGGCTCGCTAACAAGAGACAATGTTTCTTATTCGCGTTCCTCTGAGAGAACGAATGTTTCACGTGTATTTAACATACACATATGTCCGTCGTAGAATTTGTTCAATCGTTTATTTCAATCCATGACATTATCGTTTAACGTTTAAATTATACTTATTGAATGAGAAAGAAAGATACGTTTCGCGTGTGTTTCGTATTCAAAAGTGCGCGAGGAATATTAATTAAAATCAAGGCAGACCCCTTGCTAAGGACAATTTTATGAAATGTTAATTAAAATTGAAGTTTCAGAGAATACGGTGAAAATATATATATAAAAAGGTCAAACGAAGATAAAATATCCTTATTATGACTTATTTGGTAAATCAAACAAACTTGTATTCAAATTTCAAAGGTCTTTTTTCTTTCTGTAAAAAGTATATATTGGCCAATTTCGGATTTCAGAGACGGAATTACGAGATATGGTGAACGAGGTGGATCAAGATGGCAACGGTACCATCGAGTTCAACGAGTTCTTGCAGATGATGTCAAAGAAGATGAAAGGTGCCGACGGAGAGGACGAATTGCGCGAAGCATTCAGGTACTTCGATGTTCCCGACAAAGATTGAAAATATTCTCGCGAACCTAAGAGTGTGAATGTCAAATGAAACTTCTGTTCTCTAGAGTGTTCGACAAGAACAACGACGGTCTGATCTCGTCGAAGGAGTTGCGACACGTGATGACGAATCTCGGGGAGAAGCTGTCGGAGGAAGAAGTGGACGATATGATCAAGGAAGCGGATTTGGATGGCGACGGAATGGTGAACTACGAAGGTAATTCATTTGTAAAATTCTCTGCCACTCTTGGTAATAACATGACATTTCCCTCTAGCAAACGTAATAAAATAGATCCATTATATTAATTTCATTTCAATATTTCACGTAGATTGTGAATTTTCAGTTGTTGAGCAGACTTTTCTGGTAAAATTGTCGATACATTAGAAACGTGTAGTTTTTCTAATTTGACCTGTCAATTATTTTTTTTTTTCTTTTTTTCAACTTTGGAAGAAACGTAAATGTTCCGTTCGGAACGATCGTCACTTTTTGGACAAAGGAAACAAATTTCTTCTGGCAAATTTTTGTGGCGAACAAGGATATCAGAAAGTTGTAATCTTCGTCTCTAACTGAATGATTAATTAAAAATTTCAGTAGTCACAAGAACTAATCTTAGCGATAGAATATTCGTATCAACGGCAATGTACAACATCCGCGAAATCGTATCGCCCGCAACGACACACGACGATATTTCCACAGAATTTGTGACAATCCTGACGTCGAAGAATTAGTTCGGTGGTCACGGATCGGACAAGAAGCTATCCAGCTGCCGGAAGTCTTCGTCGAAAAACAGAATCAAGCCCGTGAAGTTCCTCCCCCGAGTCGTAGCAGGACGTTCATCCCCTCCAACCCTACCGACCGAGGCATCGACTACGAAACTCATACGAGATTAACAACGTACCAGGGGGAAACTAGCTGAGAACTCTTCGAAGAAGCTCGCGAAGTGAAGGAAAATGGAACAACCGCGCTGTTACTTATCTTCGACTCGACGAAGAAGACGAGCTGAACCGAGTTCAAGTTGAAATAGAATTTACGTGTGGTTCTCGCAGCTTGTTTCCCGCGCGGGGGTAAGTCGATGTCGGGAAAATCGAGAAACGTGTCTTGTGAGCGGTGGGGTGACGAGCGATTGAAAAGTTTTAGAAAGGAAGAGTGAAGAGAGAGAGAAAGAGAGAAAGAGAGAAAGTAAATGAGAGGAGTGACTTCCGCAGTTGCACACGCATACACGCATACACACCTCGCTCCTTCGAATTAATTTTACAACTAATAAGCTAGCGGAACGACATTATACGTGAGAAAACCGAGTGAGGTGCCCGCTCCCGAAACAATCAACTGAGCTTCGTTTAGCGTTTACCTATACTACCTATACTCTCTATTAATGCTATACAACGTCGTTATTGATATCGTTAGGTAATCAAATCGATCCTTCTGCATCCAATTTTCACCGATCTCTCATTCACGCGATGCTACCGGCATGACGATCTCGTTCAAGCATTAAAACGACAGGCCTAAAATTGCACTCTAGGACCGCGCGCGACGTCGACGCGACGTGACAGATCGTGTGGCATCGGAAAGTACAAATCGGTGTCCAGAAGTTGTCTCGCTGAAGTTCGTCGGAAAGAGGCCACAGCTTCGTTAGAGACGTAGTTAACGATATTAGCTAACGGAATGAGCTCGATCGAGATCGCTTTGACGACGCGACTTGTCGATCAACCCATTAGCGGCCAAGCGATTATTCGATCTTTACACTTCAGGGAATTCTCATTCGAATTTTAGAAATCGAACGATACTAAACGAATCTCGTTGGAATCTCTCATTTCATTGGGAAAGGAAGTTTTTAAAAAATTAAATGTTAGTTGATTTCAATTTGAAAAAAATCTTATTAACGGGGAGTCAGGTGAATCCTTGGAATTCACTTTTATCAGAGAGGAGAATATTTTCGTTAAATTGTTAATGTTGAATTGAAAGATAACCAATTTGTTGGAATTTTATTAGAAAATTTATCGTATTAAATAATTGAATATCGATGGTATTGCGAATTGAAAGATAAAATTCTGAAATTTCGCACTAACTTAAGTTGTTGGCCCCTAATGGATTGGTTATCGATGCGTTGTCCAGCAGACGGGAAAGCAGTAAAATTACCGGATACCGAGGGTCCGCAGTGAAACGATCGAGAATGCTCGTCATCCTTTCTTTTTCACTTTTCTGTCGTTCGATCGGTATTGTTCCTCCAAAGTTTAGTAGACTCGCTTCGTAAACGACACGAATCCTCCCGGCTCGTTGTCGAGTCGTACTTGAAACATTTAATCGCCGTTAACAACCGTGATCGCGGGAGACTCGACGCGAGAGATAGCGTCTGATCAAACGATTTGTCTTCAAATTTAGATGAGTGTCGCTGACAAAGTAGATCATAGTGATATAACGATGATACCTGCCCTCGTGGTAGAGTTTTTAGACGCATGTTCACGGCGGTCGTGCGAACAATACGATCGTTGGAAAGCAAGAATCAAAGCAAACAGTAGCGGATCTTTCCCTATAAATGTACCAATCTAGCCAGTCGTGTATAGCCATCTTCGCAGTTTTAGTTCCACCGAGTTTGTTTCGTACAGGACTATTTCCTTTCCTATTTTCAAAGCTCTTCTCGTCGAGAAAGGCTGAGAATCTCGTGGGTGTTACCAAGAATCTCTTGTTGTTAGTCCCGAATTTGTAGATTCTCTGTCCATTGTCCATGCTCTCCTGTACCGACTACACCGTCCACCTGAAAAGAAAAAGAAGAAAAAAAAAACATTCTCACCCCGTACATACACAGGCCAACTGTACTACGTCGTGCACCTTTTAGATCCTTAAGATAAGAAAGCCACAGCCGTAGCTCGCGATAGATGATAGTTAATTAGCGCGTAGTTGGAAGTACGTACACGTAATAAAATGATGCATTATACACATACCTATTATATATACCTATACATGGTGTTACTACCGGAGAATACTTGAAGTAACGTTATTATGGATATTCATATATATATATTATATATTTAGTATATACTTATACATACGTACGTACATATGTTATATATACATATACACGTTAGCGACCGTACGTCGGTGGTATACTGGCATTGATATTTTTATGGTTTTAAAAAAAAAAAAAAAGAAAATATTACTACGACAACAACAACAAGAACAAGTTTAGTGTCAGAAAGAGAGAGAGAGAGAGAGAGAGAGAGAGAGAGAGA